TTTGAGAAATAACTCAAACCTTGCAACTGATCAAACAGGTCATCAATTCTTGGTAATGGGTACTTATTCTTTATTGTTGCCTTGTTCAACTCTCTGTAATCTATGCACATTCTCATGCTCCTATCTTTATTCTTTACGAATAACATCGGGGCTCCCTAGGGTGATGAACTAGGTCTAATGAAACCATTGTCCAACAACTCCTGAAGTTGTGTGATAAGTTCCTTCATCTCCGTCGGTGCTAATCGATATGGGGCTTTTGCTATCGGTGTTGTTCCTGGTAACAAGTCTACTCTAAACTCCACTTATCTATCAGGGGTAATCCCGAAAGATTTTTGGCAAAAACTTCTGGATAGTCACACACCACTGGTATGCTTTGCATTTCCATCTTTTCCTTCTTGGCATCGATCACGAACGCCAAGTATGATGTATATCCCTTAGACAAACATTTTCTGGCTTCATCGGGGAAATGATTCCAGAATTCACCCTGTGCTTGTCTCTATACACCATAAATGATTCTTTTCCTGGCTGGTTTACCCTCACAATATTTTTCTTGCATAATATTTCGGCATCATTGGTGCTATGCTAATCCATCCCCAGAACGATGTCGAAACCATTTAACTCGATGGGTAACAGCTTCTCTTGGAATTCGTATCCGTTTAAGTCGATGAAAATGTTCTTAATATAATCGCTAATAGGTATGAATTAGCCACTAGCAACCTCTACAATTAGGGCATCATCTAGCTTTTCTATAGGCAATGCTAGTCTATCACCAAATTTATGTGATATAAAGGAGTAATTTGCTCTGGAATCGAACAATAAATTGACATGCAATCCATTTACAAGAAAGGTACCTAAAGCAACATCTGTTGTATCCATTGCGGCTTCCAGTGTCATCTGGAAAGCTCTGGCTTTTGGATTTGGTGGAATATCGGGATTTGTTGCCTCCTTCTTCTTCGGGCAATCCTTCAAAATGTGCCCTTCTTCGTTGCTCCCATAGCAGACTTTCTTAACAAATGTGCATTCATTGGCATAATGCCCAAGCTTTCCACATTTATAACATATGAGTTTTCCGTCAAATTTTCCCAGAGTGCTTCTTCTTGCACTTCTCACACCACTTTGATTCGGCTCCTCCTCCAAATTTCCTCGAACCAGACTTTGAGAACTTTCCCTTCTTGTTGGAACATGAATTTCCTTCAATCTTTCTCTTTTTGCCAACTTCAACCTTGCTGTCGGCTCTCCCTTTAATCATATCTTCAACAGACTTGGCAGCCTAAATACCTGCCTCCAGAGTAAGTGTCTGACGCACTGGCACTGCATACTCCCATGGAAGTCTCTTTGTGTACCAGTCAATTTTTGTCAGCTCATCTGGGACAATACGCAAAGCAAACTCCATTTTGTCTGTGAAGTTATTGGTGTATTCATTAATGATCATACTTCCCTTCTTTAGTGTTAGAAATTTGTTTTCCAGCTCAAGCAAATTTTGGGCCGAGCAGTACTTGCGCTTGAATTGCACAAAGGACTCTGCCCAAGTCAGTTGCAGTGGCTCATTAGGGCTTAGGGTCTTCCCCAGAGTGTTCCACCAGTGAACAGCTCCACCTCTAAACTGACGCACTGCAAATATGGTTTGTAACTTGCCTTGACAACCACATGTCATGAAGGCCAATTCCATCTCCGAGATCCAATCCATTACTCCGATGGGATGTTCTTTTCCAGTGAAAGTTGATGGCTTGCAAGTCATAAAGTCTTTGTACTTGCATCCATTTTTCTCGACTCCTTCGTCTTGTTTATTCCACCTATCCACAAGAGGTTCAGTCTGACCAATAGATATACTATAATTTCTTTCCTCAGACTGATTGTCATTTAATTCCAGTTGTCAATAGGCATTGAAGGTTCACTCCTGTTGTTCAACAACAATTGTCTCATTTCCTCCCTTTGTTCGGCCATCATGGCTTGAATCATGGCTCTCACTCCATTCATTATGATTGGCTCAGGTGCAACTTCTACTATAGGCACCTATTCCACCACTTGGGGTTGAGGTTGCTGATTTTTGTTTGCATTTCCATCTCCACTTCGAGTTTTTTCCATTATGATCTATACACCAAATTAGGCGAATTTAGATCTTCATTCACGATAGATATTTAAATTCTCCTTATCTCTCCGAAACGTTTACATGCTAGTTCTAATATCGTAGTCGTATGTTTAGAATCCTGAACACATAAGCTTTCTAGATCTGGTCAGCAACAGACGACAGATCCGAACAAATAATGGCATATATGGAAAACATATATCATTTAACACATAAAAGCATTTTAGGCAGCTTCCCAAAAATATACTAGTGCTCGTGTCTAAAATATGGTAGATGCTTATCTCACAATGATCACTTAGAATTCTAAGTTTAAGTCTAGAAATCCTACAAATTCTAGTTCACTTAAACTAATGCTTTGATACCAACTTTGACATCCCCAAATTTCTCGGCCAGAAAAGACCGAATTAATTTATGCATTTCAAATAAAATAAAAGTAATATTTTAAAAGATGTTGCAGAATTTGTCCCCAAAACAAAACATGATAAAAATTTATCAAAACATCTAAAGAAATATATTTTTTCATTATATATCAAAACCTCGGGATGTTATGTTCCGATACAGACCAAAAGCATAAACAACATAATATAGACCTTACAACAGATATATACATCTAATGGTCTATAATTCAAAAATCTTTCTTCATCATCCAAACTATGCTCTGGGTCCACTACCTGTAATATAAAAAGCTGAGTGGGTCAGGCTTGGGAGCCTGGTGAGGATATAGAGTTTTCAACCCACAAATAATAAATTTATTAAATTCATCAACAAAAATAAATTTATTAATTTCATCACCCAACAACAAATTTATCTATACAAAATAAATTTATTAATTTTATCAACCAACAATAACCCTGTTTACTCGTTCCCGTTATCCTCACTTTACATCCCTAAACACCTATCATAAGGGACCTAGCTAAAGGATCATCATCGGGATGGACACTACTGGTAAGGGGATTCCTCAGCCATACATATCATTAAGGCAACCATGAGGGGGATGAAGTACACCAACGAACATATAGTTCACCAACACCTACAGGTTGCAAGCCTGCTAACGTTCCACTGGACTGTCTAGAAAACTCTGTGGTCGTCATCTATACTCCGCTAGATGACACCGACAACAACAACATCGAGGCCTCTCATCATTTTAACACACATCAACAATTTCATCTACCAATGTTATACCCAACATATTTGTAGATAAAAATACATATACAGTTTATATCATTTCAAAACTTGTATAAATCATTCATTCAACACCATCTTAAATAAACAAACAATATATATATATATATATATACATATATATATATATATATATATATATATATATATATATATATAGACACACACACACACATAGCACGTATTTTGTAGAAAATACTTCATATTTGTGTAAGATGAAAGTGACTACACACTCACTTGTTAAGACAATAATTGGGCAGCACCACGTCTATAAAAATAATCTTTTCTAATGAAACTGGGGTGTTTTTCTCAAAAACTAGGCTTCATGTGGGTAGAGTTTCACCTCGAAAAACTATTTTTCTCGGGAACTTCGAAGCGTCGAGACTTGTTTCGGGTGTTGGGATTGATACTAGGACTTCAGAGGTATTTCTTGCAAAGTAAAAGAGAGTTTAGGGGTGTACAGGTGTAAAGAAGTAAACAAAATACGGCTGCCTTCGCATCACTTATATAGGGTCCGAAGCAACTTACTACGCGGGGCTTAGTCTCGTTGTACGTGGGGCGTACGAGGTTACGTGTCCGATTCTCGGAAGGGAGGGCACGTGGCTCGAACGTGTCCGTTACGTGGCCAACATGCGAAGATCTGGCGACATGGTCAATCCGAAGCCCTACCATGTGAACGTTGGGCATAACTTCCGTACGCTGGGTGTACCCTTCGGACTAGCCTCGAAGTTTGTGCCATAAACTTCAAAAATTCGTATCTTTTGCATACAAACTCCGTTTTTGACGTTTTTTATGTCCACGCGTAGGTGAAATTATACTCTACAACTTTTGTTTAGACTCTGTCGGCTAATTTTGAATTTATTTTTAAAGTTATATTTTTAACAAGTCGGGACAGGAAAAGTTCGTTAAAAATTCATTACTTCTTCATTCGACGTTCGTTTTCGTCTGTCTTTTTACTGTTGAACTACAATTGACAAGATCTTCGATTCTCGTTTAGTTTGTATTGGCTAAAATGACTCGATCTAAAATTCAAATTTTTAGTTGTGTAATGTTAAGCTGAAACTTAGAAAAACCATAACTTCCTCATATGAAGTCAGATTTGGACGTTCATTTTATGCACACTCTCGGTTTAACGAACACTACGAATTTCATTTGGATTGATAACGCTAAAAAGAACTTTACCGAAAATTCAATTTTTACGTCACACAATGTTATGCTGGTTCTGTCATGAAACTTCGACAGGTTATAACTTCTTCGTTATAACTCGGATTTCGGTATTCCTTATATCTCCGAAATCCTTGTTTCAACCACTACAACTTCAATCTTAGATATTGGGATTATCTAATATTTATTTTGACACTTATTTTTATCGTTAACTTATTAAATCATAATAATTAAGCAAATAAGCACATATTTCACATAATATTCGCATAATTCCTCTTTATTACTTTAAAACGAGATACAAAGGTTGACCTATACTATTACATTATCTTTAATGTTTAGCTAGACCTGGAAATTTAAGACACGAAGACACGAATCTATGAGAGACACGACACGACACGAATACACGACACGAATACATCTTAAAAATTGAGATAAAGCTTATTTCTCATCGTGTAATCGTATCATGTCAAATTCGTGGCTGACATGTTTTCATGACATGAATACACGAATTGTCAGGTCTATGTTTAGCCCAGAAACACGAGCGTTATAGTGATGCCAAACGATCCCCCTATTTATCTTTGAATTTCTTTCCAGTTTCCCTGAAAAACATCTTAGGGTGATCACTTGGAGCATTTTGGTCTGAATGATTCATCAAGAGCAGCTTCCCTTTCAGCTGCTCAACCTTGATTTTCTTCTCTTTTCTTTCTTGAGCAGAAGGAGGACCAAAAGATAAAAATATATCAATATTAGCATCCGGAGCAGGTCTTGCAGCTCTTTTACTTGTAGGTTGAGAAGTTGGATTGGCTGGACTAGAACTAGAAGCAGTGATCTTTTCTCCTTCAACGCTCAAAGGTTGAAATTTATCACCAAACTTTTGAAATAGGAACTGTTTTAGGTCAAAGAATAGAGTCGTTAGACCACCAAGATCTGCTTGAAGTTGTAAGATATTTGAAGCTTTGTTGGAGTTCTCTTTCTCAAGCTCGCTGATACGAATGTCCTGCTTTCCAATTATTAAATATTTTTCTACAGAGCTTTGTTCTAGATCAAAGACTCTATTCTAAAGTAAAACCACATCAACCAATTTAGATTTAGGCAGTTTGCTTTTACCTTTGTGGATGTCCAGCTCAGGTGTTTCAAATGAGCTCTTGAAGCTTGAGCTCCTTCCGAAGGTATGACTTCTTCTTCAACAATTGGGCTTTCAAAATCTTGATCCATAGGAATGGATTCAGTGAACGGGCTTGGTATGTTGTGAGCCATAGAATCAGGCTCAGTCGGTGTAGATTTCTTTTGAACGGGGTCTATGATATGTACTCCCGACCTTGGATCTCTTCTTTTTCGGTTCCTTGGGAGTAAAGCGTGGGTGGAGTCTTCTAGATCACTTTCAGATGGAGGTTCAGTATAAACATGAATTGTTTCGGGAGGCTTCCTTACAGTTCGCAGAAGTTCTACAATAAGAACATCCATGTATTCAGGGGTTGGTGAGGAAGATTACACCATTAGATCATTTTTCACTTTCAGTTATGATCGGAGGTGTAACAGCTACATCCTCTTCTGGGAATGAAATACTTTGCTGAATAAAATTTTCAAACTCATTTTCTAAGAATTCATTTCCTTGATCCTCTTGATCTTCTTCATCATCAGATACTTCAACCTCTTCAAAGGCAAATTGAAACATTGGTTTGGGTGCCACGTGTTCCTCGGCAACCTCAATATTTATGGAACTAACAGCAGGAGTGTCTTCAACCTCAACAAACTTTCCAAATTTAACTAACTCCTTCAATCTTTGATAAGCAACTTTGGCAGCCTTTCTTGATTGCTTCATGAGTCCAAAGGTGTTGGGACCCAAAGCTTTCATATCCAAAGTATTTGATGACCTTTCAATTTGGGGATATTTTTCATTAAAGATCATTTGAAGGAACCTAAGGTACATAAAATTAGGTCCTTTTTCTTTCCCAGAAGGTTGCTCTTCATCTCTTCAAAAATGAATTTTTAGAAGTTGTAATCCCAGTCCATAGCTAGAGCGACAATGGTTGAGGTCACAGTCTGACTAATTTGATCAGAACCTCCTTTTCTTCCAGAAATGCAAATCACAAAGGAGTGTGCCAAGAACCTCCAGTAAGGTGGCAGTATCTTCTTAATAATGGGAGAATAGGTTCCTTCATAACACTGTTGGATAATGTGTCTAAGTCCATAACTATTTATGGTAAGTACTTGACCCGACCCGGCATGGTCCATTCGGGTTGCATGGCACCATGCAATTGGATAGACTAAATGAGACAAATAACACTTGTGGAGTATTAATATATTATAAGTTCTAATATATTAATAATATTATTTAATTAGTTTGATCAAGAATTAAATTAGAATTAATTAAGTGATCAAAAGATGACTAATTAAATATATGGGTTAATTACGTAAATCATCCATAACTTGTATAGTGGGATAAGATGCTCCATGGATTATCAAGTGGGGTTCCACCCATAGGATGCTCCATGGGAGTTACAAACCCATGGGTCATGGAAATGAAGAGTCATGACACATTAGGGTTTACATGGTGTAACCCTAGATGTGTCAACACTATATAAGGAACCCATTCACCACCAAAATCAGCTACACATAAGAAACAAGAGGGCTAGGCCGATTTTAGAAGTGTGTATTCTCTCTAAAGTCATTACAAAAGCATTTGGTGTTGTGTGAAGCATTTGAGGCATCACACTTGGGGTGCTAGGCTCACAAGTTTTTAAGGATCATAAGCAACAACAAGGTAAGTTATTCTATCTTTCATTCAAGTTAAAAATTGTTCCCCATGTATGCTAGATAGGAATATAACCTTGGAATTCAACTTTGCATGATAATTAGACAAACATAGATCCAAGGTTATTAGGGTTGCATGTACACTTAGGAAGTGTTAGAATGCTCAAAACTCATCAGCGGTATCAGAGACTAGGCTTGTTTGTTTTTTATTTGTGCAAAATTGTTGAAAAAAGTCGATTTTGTGCTATCTGCCTGCTGAACTTGCCGAGTCCATGTTGGGACTCGCCGAGTTCATGTGTAAATTCATCCTACTCGCCGAGTAGGTTCGTGCACTCGACGAGTAGGAGCCTCAGAATGTAGATTTTCGACTTTGGTTGCTGGAAATGGACTATAAACATTACCCTAAACTGTTTTGGTACTTGAAAACTTGTTTTAGATGGTGTAATGATTATGCTAATCCATTTTCAATGGCAATTATCAAAATTACAAGTTTTTAAGTGTAATTTTTGATTCTTGAAAGCGTTCATATTCATGTTCTAGAACTTATGAAGATTAGAAGATCATATGAATTGCTTGTAACCTTCATGGTAGCTTAAGTCATGATCATAATGTGTTTTAATGGAGTCCATAACTTGTCCTCAAGTTATGGAAAATCAAAAGTCACACTTTATTATCTTGTGTAGGAAAATCACTTTTGATGGATCCAACTTCAATGAATGGATCAGAAACATCAGGATGATTACCCGCTACGAGGACAAAGAATATGTCCTCGATAAGGAGCTTAAGGAGATTGATGAGACCACTGCAACTCCCTAGGAGATCGCTGACTTCCAGGCACATGAGAGGGATGCTACCAAAGTGGCATGCATCATGTTGGCCACCATGACAGCAGAACTCCAAAAGTCCTACGAGGACTTCTACCCTTTTGAAATGCACCAAGATCTGATGGAAAGATATCATCAAAGTGCACGACAAGAGAGGTATGAAATCATCTGCTCCATGATAACAACCATGATGAAGGACGGAGAGTCTGTTACGAGCCACATGCAGAAAATGCAAATGTATGTGGATCGGTTGCTGAAACTTAATGTGAACATCCCTGAGGAGCTTGCAATAGATATCATTTTGCACTCCTTACCATCGTGCTATGATTAATTCCGCATGACATATCACATGAATAAGGAAGATGTCACACTCAGCAAACTTCAGGGACTTCTCAAGACCACAGAAACAGGTCTTAAGGGGAAGTCGGTTGTTAACATTTCTACTCCAAACTCTGCCCCGGTTTTGGCAATCGGGAGAACTCAAGGGAAGAAGAGGAAGAGCTCTTTGAAGGGTACCAAGGCTAGGACCCTTGATGGCTCTTTTTCAAGTGGAACCAAGAAAGGTTTCGTCACTCCTTCTTCTGACCCAAGAGAGGCTGAATGCTTCTATTGCCAGGAAAAGTCACATTGGAAGCGGAACTGCCCAAAGTACCAGCAAGATGTGAAGGATGGGAAAGTTAAACCAAACAATGCAGGTATTTACACTATTTTATCTAATAACTCACCCCATTCTAACTCTTGTGTCCTTGATATCGGTTATGGTATTCATATCTGTTCTGATTTGCAGGGACTAAGAAGAAGTGAGAATGTGGAGCAAGGAAGAATAAACTTAATCATGGGGAATAGGAAAGCTCTACCTGTAACCAAGATTGGAGTTTATACTTTATCGCTAAGTAGTGGGTTTAGTTTAGATTTGAATAAGTGTTGTTATTCGCCAGAAATGGCAAGAAACATTATTTCCTTTCATGCATTGTATAAACAAGGTTTTACCTTTCATTTGATAATGAAGTTGGTTCGATTAATGCTTTCTTTAATAATGTTCTTTATTTTAAAGCATTACCTTGTGATGGTGTGTATGAAACTGTATCTATGGTTGATAACGTAGGAAATAATGTTTTGTGTATTGATTCTGTTAATGATAATAACTTGGATAAGGCATCATTATGGCATTGTCGTCTTGGACATATAATCAAGAAACTCATAGGCCAACTCCAATAGGATGGAGTCTTGGAGTCATTTGACCTAAAGTCAGATGATAGTTGTGAATCATGCTTACTTGGAAAAATGACAAAGTCACCCTTCACAGGTACTTATGAGAGGGGTGAATGTTTGTTGGATCTTGTACATACGGATGTGTGTGGACCCTTCAAACATGCCACAAGGGATGCTAATCGTTATTATTTGACTTTAATGATGATTACAGTAGATATGGATATGTCTACTTAATCAAGCATAAGTCAGAGACTTTTGAAAGGTTTAAGGAATTTAAACAGGAAGTCGAGAATCAATTGGGCAGGAACATTAAGATACTTCGATTCGATCGAGGTGGTGAGTATCTTAGTTCAGAGTTCCTTGACTATCTTAAGGAATGTTGGATTGTCTCACAATTGACAACTCCTAGGACACCGCAGTTGAATGGTGTGGCTGAGAGGCGTAATCGAACCTTGTTGGACATGGTTCGTTCCATGATGAGTCGAGCTTCGCTACCAATCTCATTTTGGGGGTATGCCTTAGAGACTGCCGCCCATATCCTTAATCTGGTCCCTACAAAGAAAGTTGCCAAAACTCCTCATGAGATGTGGACTGGTAAAGTACACAAACTAGACCACATCAAGATTTGGGGTTGCGAGGCTTTCGTGAGACGCGAGACTCATGATAAGTTCGAACCTCGAAGCGAGACGTGTATTTTCATCGGCTACCCACAACAATCCTTTGGTTACCACTTCTACATACCTAGTGAAAATGTGGTCTTTGTAGCTAGAAGGGCGTTCTTGAGAGAGAGAGAGAGTTCATAAGCCTAGGAAACAGTGGGAGGCAAGTTGACCATGAAGAAATTCAAGAGTCAGGCGGTGAAGGAACTTCAAACCCTAGCACTCAACTTGAGGAGGAAACTCCTGTTGAGCCAATTGACAAGTTTGTACCTCTGAGGCGTTCCACAAAGGTTAGGAATGCACCTGAGCATAACTATGGATTCCATATTACTCCGGAAGGTGATACACTGTGACATCCCCTAATTTCTCGGCCAGAAAAGACCGATTTAATTTATGCTTTTTAAAATAAAATCAGAGAAATCTTTTTAAAAGATGTTGCGGAATTTGTTCCCAAAACAAAACATGATAAAAGTTTATCAAAACCTTATTTAAGAAATGTATAGTTTCATTTCATATCAAAACCTCGGGATGTCATGTTCCGATACAGATCAAAAGCATAAACAAGACATTATAAGCCTTTCAACAGTTATTTACAACTACTGGCCTATAATCCAAAAATCTCTCATCGTCCACCAGCTATGCTCGGGGTCATAAAACTGAGTGGGTTAGGCTTGGGAGCCTGGTGAGCATATAGGGTTTTCAACCCACATTAATAATATACTTATTAAGTTCACCAATCAACAATAACCCTGATTACCCATTCCCGTTGTCCTCACTTTACGTCCCTAAACACCTATCACAAGGGACCTAGCCTAAGGAATATCATCGGGATGGACACTACTGCTAAGGGGTTTCCTCATCCATACATGTCCTTAAGGCAACCATGAGGGGGATAGAGTATGCCAATGAACATTTAATTCATCAACACCTATAAGTTGTGAACCTGCTAGTGTTCCACTGGACTGTCTAGAAAAGTCTGTGGTCGTCATCTATACTCCGCTAGATGACTACAACAACAACAACAACAACATCGAGGCCTCTCACCTTTTTAACACACATCAACTATTTCATCTACCCATGTTCTACCCAACATATTATGTAGATAAAAGCATATACAGTTTAAAAATTCTATAAAACATCAATTCAACAGTCACCTTGAATAAACAATTAACATATTTACACATAACACGTAATTCAAGGTAAACACTTCATATCTATGTGTAAATTGAAAGTAACTACACACTCACATGATTTGATGATAATCGGGCAGCAATTCGTTTCCTAAAATGATCGTTTCTAATAAAACCGGGAGTTTTATTGAGAAACCGGGCTTTGTAAAAGTCGGGCTTCGAAACTGAAAAGATAAATTTTTTGGGCTTCTCGAGCACTTCGTGGAGTATTCCGGGCTTTACAATCGATACCGGGGCTTTACGGAATGTTAAGATGAAGAAAACATGGGT